GGAGGTCACCACTCTGGCCCAGGACCATAACTTTCATCTGTTTCTCCTACATAATTGTGATTTTAAAGACAAGGATTGACTATGAACTCCCCAGGTCTGAAGGGTAATTTGACAACTGAGAATGAGGAGCCCAGAGCTGTGTCAGTAAGGAAACTGTGGATGATGTAATCAGTACCTTCGTCCATCCAGCATGGTGAGACCATTTCTGCATGCCCTCAGATGCGCCTACTGCGATGGTGTACCCCAGAGACAGCGTCGAGCTGGGGAAGCCCAACACGCTCATCTGCTCCGTCACGGACTTCCACCCGATGGGTATCGGGGTGACCTGGACCCACAACGACAGGCCAGTCACCGAGGGCGTCACCCAGACCACACCGCTCTCTGGGAGAGACTTCAGCTTCAAGGTCTTCTCCTTCCTGCCCTTCACACCCCGGCTGGGCGACGTCTACTCCTGCCAGGTGCAGCACAGCGCCCTGCCCGAGCCCCTCGCCAGACTCTGGGGTGAGTGCAGGACTCCCTCTGACGCCGCCGTCCAGAGACGCTTCCCTCGGCGAGACAGACGCGCTCAGACGGTCCCCCCAGTGGGACTGTGTTTTCCCTAAGTGTTGCCTGTGTCGCTACAGTGACAAGAATGAGATAAGAGGTTTGTACTGATTCCGTGTCCTGGGAAGAGCTGTGGGCGTGGAGCGGTGATTTCAGTAAATGAAAGATGTTCTCTAACAGTGACAAGTCCGTCTCACCTGGCCGAGTCTGACCAGTGTTAGAAATCAGCTCTGCACGTCAAACACAAGCTCCTGTCTTGAAGTAACGTGCTGGAGAGAAGCCCTGTGTGTCCCTCTGCAGAGAGCCAGAGCAGGGGGTGACAGGGCCACCCTGCTCAACAAGGGGGACAGCGACTGTGTCATCATGTCATTTGTCCAACTACAGAGGTGGAGACGGAGACGGGGACAGAGTCTGACATCGGGCCGACAGCGTTCTGCGTGGCGGGCCTGACCCTGGGGCTGCTGGGAGTGGCAGCCGGAACCTTCTTCCTCATCAAGGGCAGCAGCTGCAACTGAGAGCAGGTACTGGTGTGAAGTGTGTAGCCCCCCACTGGACACCAGCCCCCCACGGGACACCACTCCAACACTGGACACCAGTCCCCCCACTGGACACCACTCCAACACTGGACACCAGCCCCTCCCTGGACACCAGCCCAACACGGGACACCAGCCCAACACGGGACACCAGCCCCTCACTGGACACCAGTCCAACACGGGACACCAGGCCCTCACTGGACACCAGTCCAACACGGGAGAACATGCAGACTCCACACAGACGGCACCCAGGAACTGAACCCAGGGCCCAGCAATGCTAAACACTGCACCACTGTGCCAAGTACTTCCATGTAGAAATAGAAAAACAGAGGTACAGTAAATGAGCCCCAGTTTTCCTTTTCTTCGCCTGTGCATCAGAAACTCGTTAGAAGATGTGACGATAGAGACGTTTTTATAACGGATTGGAACATTTTACAAGGAGAAATCGCCCATTAAATGTGTTGCATTTTGTGAGGAAAGTAATGTGATATTTGTTCTTTAAAGTTTAT